CTTGAACTCGATCGAAATTTAGAAAATCACTCTCTCTACTCCATCCCATTGGACTTGGATATCGTGGAATCATTAATTTTAAAGCAGCAGATCGTAATGCATTTATCCATAATCGAACATCATCAACTTGTCGAGCACAAAGTACTAATTTAACATTTGGTTCACTTTGTACGATCTTCACTTGAAATGCATGATGTTTCCCAACTAATGGAAATGGTAATGATTTAATAATTGCACCACGAATATCCATTTCACGTTGTAATATCATTCCATTCATCTCATTACTATCATGAGATAGTACAGTTGATACTATTGTCGATGTTTCTCGACGTAAAAGTTCCTTCTTTTTGATATTCGATGTATATTCACGAAGCACTCCAGCATTTGATAATGCAAAATACCGTTTATGCCAACCACGTAATAGTTTACTTCGACCATCTCGTGTCCACAAAATGCCTTCCATCGCGACGTACGTTGTTTAGTACGTTTCAATTCTGGGGTTGAAAATTCGGTTTTTTTACCGGTACGAATGTATATTGCAATATATTAAAATCTTATTGGTCGATAATTTAGATAAGAAGGCATTGGTTAGCATTCCTCATTACAAGTTAAGTAGCGAATATAATTCTGTCATGGAGAATGCCGCTTCTCGCTTTGGTCAGCACCTTGCGCATACCGGTACATGATTTCTATATTTTTGTCGTTGTTCTTTTCCATGTTTAATATTATTGTGCTAGAAAAAAAATATCGTGACCGTGCTGTAAAAAAGTTGACAATATACTTAACAAAGAAGAAAACATGGACAGCATTGGAATGGGACAAACTTTGGAAAGCATTGTTTTACTGCATGTGGATGAGTGACAAACGTCCTGTTCAAGAAGAATTGTCGACTAATTTAGCTGCACTTGTTCATCGTATTCCAACTGCTAACATGGCGTTAGAATTTGTGCATTCGTTTTTTCGTACTATGCATCGTGAGTGGCATGGACTTGATGGTCTTCGTCTTGATAAATTTTACTCATTAGTACGTAAATTTATCCACGAGACTATTGTATTACTGCGTATACAAGATTGGCAAGAAAAGTTGGTGCAAGAGTTTGTCATGATTTTATCTACAGAAGTTGTCAATCAATTGCCAAATGGATTACGTTTGCATTTAGCGGATGTATACTTGACGGAAGTGTATACAGCAGCAAAAGATGTGACAACGAAGGCATTTGTGATGCTACTAGAGCCATTTTTCTCTTTATTAACGTCTGAGTATGATAAAACAGTGTTTAAGCGTGTACGAGATGTTGTGTTTGAAGATATGGTGCGAAAGTACCAATTTCAATTGTATAGTGATGATAAAAAGGAGATGAATTGCGAGAAAGAAGCAACGGATGATGAAGAGGAGACAATGGTGTTTGAATGTGTGGACTTAGCACAAGTACAACATCGTATCTTTGCTATTGCATCAGCAGATGATACAATTGAATGTAATCGTGCAGCACTTTACACGTTATACAAGAAATACTTTAGTATTACACATGTCGATTCATTTCAATTTCGAATGGAAGAATCGGTGAAGGTACAGGAGAAGGAAGAAAAGGTTGAAGAGAAAACAAGTGAGAGTGAAAAGGAGAACGAGACGAAGAATGTCAAAAAGTCTAAGAAACGCAAAGTTAAGAAGAAAGTTGAGGGTGAGGAGAATCAAGTTCAGTCTACGACATTGAAGGAAGAGAAGATTGAAGATGTTCAAACGATTGTGAAAACGACGACGAAGAAGATTAAGACACAGAAAACATGTGATGTTGAGACTGAAGCAGTGAGTAGTGAACAGTCGAAGCAGGAGAAGAAAAATGATCTTACTGAGATGAAGAGTGGTCAAAAATTTAAACGCTGCACTTCTTGCGGGGGATTCGGCAAAGGGTTGGTATCGAAAGACAAAACGTTATGTGGCCATTGTGAGCGTGATCAGAAAAGCCAAAGGAAATCGGCGATTCTGTCGTCGAAGAAGCGTAAAGCTGAGGCTTTAGCTCAAAGTGCTTGGGAGGAGGAGGAAAAGACTGAAGTGAGCAAGAAAGTAACATTTGGAAAGAGCAAAGCACTTCGACACACTGTGTCAGTTAGACGACTACGAGCGTCAGCCAAACAAGATATTGTTGCTCAGGATAATAAGGAAATTAAGAGCGTGCTCAAGACATCGACACAAGTGGTAGCCAAGAGTCCAAAAAAGAAGACGAGAAGGGGACGAATGACAGCGGCTGACTTTATGTAGGCACTATAGTCTAATGTTCTCTTACATAACTTGTTTCTGAAATGTATATAAAATTCTTCGTACGATTTTGTTCAAAAGTAGAAAATTTACAATGTTATTCTAAGAGCTCGTTGAAATAGTGTTACCGAATGTAGATATGAGAGTGCGAGGATCTCGGCATTCACGTCACTTACAACATTCTATTCACTAAGACACGATTCCATTGCAATGGACAGAAATCGTTGCGTTCGATTTTTCTTTTCTTCTTCTACCAAGACACAAACCACACCCTTTTCATCAACATTAGGACGTCCTGCGCGTTCAATCATGCTCAGCTTGATCTGGCGGTGTTTTGCAATTCTATCTGGCAAGGGATCAAGCGATGGACACCATTCGAAACCACGTGAGGTCTAATGCAGCGGGGCTGCCGTAGCTCTTTGCTTCGAGGAAGCTAAGCTAAGGTCACCGACCT